AGAGGCATGTAAACCATCTATTATCCCTCCCTCCCTCCCTCCCTCCCTCCCTCCCTCCCTCCCTCCCTCCCTCCCTCCCTCCCTCCCTCCCTCCCTCCCTCCCTCCCTCCCTCCCTCCCTCCCTCCCTCCCTCTCTCCCTCCCTCCCTCCCTCCCTCCCTCCCTCCCTCCCTCCCTCCCTCCCCCTCCCTCCCTCCCTTCCTACCTCCCTCCCTCCCTCCCTCCCTCCCTTCTTTCCTGGAGTCCCTCCTTCCTCTTTTCTCATTTGAAATATCTTCACTTCCCTGAAAGTGTTATTTTTGGCTTTTATTCCTGGAAGAATAGAAGTCATTAATTTTTTCAGCTTTTGGTCTCATTCATGCACATTGTATCATTTAATAAAGAAAGAAGGTATTTAATACAGTCTGAAGAATTAAAAAGAAAGCAGCCCTTGACTTAGCAAAAAGTATCTACTGGTAAAGAAAGAATTTTCTCAGTTTGCTAATGGCTATTAATCCTGCTTTACACCTTCAATACAAAACATACTTTTTAACACTGTGCTAAAAAACTGTAGTTTCTTTGCATTTAATTCACTGAATGCAGAATATTTCTGACTTGTTCTTTAGCAACAATCTTCTGTGTATTATATCCTGTGAACTCAGACCCTGATCTTATTTTTTTCATGTTTTGTTTTCACTTTGTAGTGAACTGCAAACCAGGATAATACAACACAATGTCTAAAATTTCAGTTTTCAATAGCCATATAGGCATGTGTTGCTTAACCTGGATTTATCTCAAGCCCTAGATACTGCAGTCCAATCCGAGAATGCATGCAGACAGTAGACGTTGGAAAATATGTCCTTGTGTAAATACAATATAGCTGAAACTGTTTGTCAAGATGCAAAGGTTTACGAAAGGACACTGCACTTGGTTCCCCAAAGGGAAGATATGATGTACTATACAAGACAGAGTATTAATCATAGCAGATATTTCTGGACAATAAAGTAGAGTAACCCTTGTGAACAATTTTCCTTCAAGGATAAAAAGGGAAAATAAGGAACTGGAAGTATTATATGAAACTACATACTCTGACAGAGGACAAAGCTAGAAGCACTTCAGAAATCTCATATGGAAAACAGCTTAATAACTGCTGCATGGTTTATTTGGGCTAGGGTAATTTTTCATCCTATTGCATCATGGTTATTATTTCACTTGCACCACAAACACCTGGTCTCCTTTTAAAGTTAGCAAACCTGTAGTAAGTGAGAGCACTTGTCCATTTAGACTCTTAGAGTTCACAAGGTTAGAACATTTCTCCCACAGACAGGAAAACATTATTATAATTTCAAAACCCCCAGGAACTGGATGTGCAGACAGTGATATTTTTACCCATTCCTACAAGACACTTCAGCTGTTAGACATCTGAAACGTACCCGTATCATGTGATGAAACATAAATTACATGATGGGACACAGCGGGTTCAGTTTTAAAGAAACATTTCTTTTCATAATGAATGTACTGAACCAACCTGGGTTGGCGTGTAGTTTTAAGGCAGCAACACTGGTAATGCAGCGAAGGGATTTACTTAAGTTCTGACTGCATAGTGGCAGGAGCACTGGAAACATTCTCTGACCTTGCACAGAAGCAAGTTCTTTTGATTATTAACTCTGTTTTATAAGTATAGAACCTTTCTAAAAATAGGTAACTGTATGTTAAAATGAAGAGAAACAAGATCCTTATACAACTGGGTTGAAAACAGTGAAGACAAAGAAATACAAGAAAGTCCTTAAACTTCAGCTACACAAAAGCTACGGAAAATTCTGACCTTTGAACACCAAAATCAATACATTAACATTCCCCATGTAAAAGATTGCCATGTGTTGCTGTTGAGGGAGGGACTGGAATAAAATGACTCCAAGTTCAGAAGGCAAGGAATGAACTGTTTATTCAAAGTACATCTCTCTTTTACGGAGAACATCATGAAGACTACTTTCATTGGTCTTAGAGTAAAAACATCTCACACCATTGGTGCACTATGAGTAGCACATGGTGGTAGAACATATCTATAAGCAATATGAACAGGAAGAGAGATAATAGATGGTTTACATGCCTCTTGACTTTTTCCGGGCTTAGCCTGGTAGAAATCTCTCTCCTTTTCTCTCTGACTGAACTGAGAATATCCATAGCTATGCTTTTTAGACTTGAAACCCTGTACTTTAACTTATCTAAGATAGAAATTCACACAGTGCTGGCCACAATTCACCATGGTCAAAGAAATGTTCTCGGTTTTCATCATTTTGATAGGAGACAGCCAAGATAGCCTATAATGGTACCAATGCATTATAGCTAATGCACAGTTTCAGGTTCAAGATAAAAAACATTGCTTCTTTTTTTGGGATGTTTCCTTGTTGAGTGAGTAAATATTAAGCATGTCAGGAAATGCTTTTGATCTGGAACACTGGGTAATATGTTTTTTGTGTTGTAAATGTTGTGACTTTTTAGCTCTTCCTTCTTCTGTTGACCATCCAAGGAGGTCTGGGCAGCATTTGGCTTCCCCTGTTCCCCTGTCCCTCCTGCCTTCTCCATTGTCACAATCCTCTCAGTGTTCTCCATCTTCAGCCCCTCCCCCACTTCCTTTCACATTGCCATCTCTCCACAGAGGTTCCCTGCACAGCACAGTGTTGCCCAAATGGCAGAAAAGGCACCCAGAGAGAGGCCGAGGCATGTTGAACACACAAACTGCCACTGTCTGGATTCTGGTTGCTCTTTGTGTGCCCCTGGATTTGACCAGGCCTAAGGAGGAGAGTGCCCAGATCCTCTGTGCGAGATGATCTGTTCTCTGACACATCATCAGCCATCATCTTCCAGCTAAGCCTAATAATTGGCCTCATTCCTCTCTTTGATCATAAACTGACACAAATTGCTATTATGTTTAAAAACAAGTAGGTAGGGTATATTTTATCAAGTGTTACCAGCAATCCACAATGAAGAAAACGGCAACAAGAAGTGGCACAGTCCATGCTCAGGATATAACAGATCCCATGTCTGGAGTTTCAGATGGAACCTGAGCCCTTGAAAAGGGACAACGCTCAATCACAGCCATTTACTGAGTGAAGGGCTTGTTACAAATGGAGAGAGGAGTTTTAAATAAGTTTCTGTCTTTCCAAGGTCTCTGACAGTAGACAGTACTTTTGCTGAGGTGGCCAGTACCCCAAAACCCACTCTCATTGCAAGTTCTTAATAATAGCTGATTAGGTCTATTACAAAATGGATTAATTATTTGATAGACACAAATTTAACAGACATAAGACTTTAATGGATGACTTACTACAGAGGATAAACAAAGAAATACTACTAGTGGATAAACAATAGAACAGGATTGAGGTAACAGCAAAAAAATCTTACCATTCAATTTCTAATGGCGCATATGTAGGATCCTTCCGCTCAATTTCCAGAAAACTGTCCATGGAGATGTGTTGTCCATTTTTATGGGGGAAGCCCTACACATTTCCAAGGAGTGTGTAGGAGGCTTCTGTCTCCATGATAATTTGTGTAACTTTTATAGTGTAAAGCAGTGGGTTTGGTCAATGATATTTAATTTTTGTCTCTCTTCACATCTGCTCTCCAGACAAACATATTTATGCTTAGATGGGGGTCTCAGCCCTCTTGGAGATAACTCCCTGTCAGTCATTGGTCCTGGCATGGGCTACCCCTTCTGTAAGCACGAGCTGAGTTGTTGGTGGAGGGGGCGGGAGGCATCCTGCCAAAGGCCTCCTCTCCTGCTGTCTCATTTCATGCCCCCAAATTTAGTGTCCTGCAGCTCCATATTCTGAGGGGTAGATTCAGATCAGGCTCTTGCCAATGCTATTACTTACCCAAAAAGTCAACAGCAAACTGTCAAGTGGCACCTTTCAAGCACTTCACAGATGTCATTTATTTTAAAATATTTGCTTGGGTTTAAATTTTTTATATAAAATACAAAATTAATGTGGTAAACAGTGAAAGTGAGAAATATTTTATGAACACATTTACCAAAATAAAAAGAGCTCCTAATGCTGCTGCCTAATGATGCAGCATTTTAAGAACGCTCCTTTAACACTATTTTTTGTTGTCTGATCCATAGCTTAGCACAGTAGGATTTAATTTTTGGTGTCACCATGAAATGCAATGTGCAGTATATGAAATGTTAATGTAATACATAAATTTACAATTAAAAAAAAAAAAAACAAGGTGATGTAAACAAGGAAGTATTGAATAGCTGAAATATTCCATGGTTTGCCAAGTGCCATTATGCAAAAAATACTGGGTTTTTTACAAATACATGTTTTGACACAATTCCCTGCTTTTTTTTTCCTCTTAATCTCTGAAATAAAGATTCCAATCTGAACTGAGAGGAACTAAATATTTCTTAAGCCAAACTTAATATTGCACTGATTAATATAGAGAGTTCTTACCTTTCTACAGGTGTGAACCAGCCAAACTCCAATGCCATCAGTGAAGCTACACCACTAAACATCAGCTGAAGCTTAACTTACTTAGACAACAAACACTAATTAGGGATACTCTATATGACAACAGATTAAATTTTTTTTCAATGTATGAGAATTGAGAGGTTATTTTGAGATTCAACACTATCTCTGCATCTTTTCCACAATACTGTGGATTTGAATGACTGACATAAGCCCAGAATTGACTAATTGACTCAGGATCTCAGATTGATAGTATTCAAGAAGCATTAGCAAGGTGCTTTCAGGCACATGGTGTGATGCTTGGGGTTGTCCTGAACTTGATAATCTTTGTGGGACCCTTCCAACTCAGCCTATTCTGTGATTCTCTGATGATATAATGCATGATAGTATAAAAATGACAGTATAAGTCCTGTAGTTAGACAGAGGGAATCCTGGTGAAATCTAATCATTGCTACTAGCACTGAGAGTCATCACAACATCCCATAGGTGCCATCATGATTACTAAAGTTCATAGAAATGCCCCTGCCCAAATTAAGGTGTAAATGAGACCATATGCCAGTGACAATAGTATAGATTTTATTTGATAGTAAATATGAGAGAGAGGGAGAAATTGGAAATAGGTGAGGGGGTCAGAAGGAGAGTGACAGGGACAGAATAAGGAAAAAAATCACAACTCTATGGATCCTGGTGGTGTTCCATTGATCCTCTCCAGCTGGTATTCTTGATGGTGAAGGTCCCCTGCAAAAGCACAGAATCTGGTAAATATATGCTCAGACCAGTAGGAAAACCCAGGCACCTCCCTGGGGGAGGGGTGCGAGTTTGCCACTTACAACAGACTCAGGATTTGTGCATCATGTGCAGTCCTGTGCTGCAAGGCTTCAGGAATGACTCTGGGGGACACTTCGGGGAGCTTTTGAAGGATTAAGGTACCCCATCAGCTGCCCCTCATGTGAATGCCATGTGGATGTGGCCTGTGGGGAAGCTCTGATGCATTTGGCTTTCATATGGATGCATTCTCTCCTTTAGCCTTGTTTGTTTTTTCTCAGCCTGAGATGATTAAAGAATGGGTTTTCCCTTTATTTAATCTTAGTGGCTTAACTTACAATGCAAAGTCCCAGTCAGGTATCTTCAGGGAGGCTTCTTTGGTTATAGCTTCGTTATACAGTTTTTATTATAATGAGCAAAACTTTATAACAATGTTTGCGGCATTAACTCTGTTTCATTTCAGTGTCTGACAACAGGGAAACAGTTTATTCACTCAATAAAGGACTGAGCAATGAGATGCCATACACAAGCTGCTGTTGTGGTTTAGCCCCAGCAGATAGTTAAGCACTACACAGCCATTTTTAAAAAGGGAAGGGGGCAAGGATGGTAGGGGAAAGAGAAGGAAACAAAACAAAACCTAAAGCAAGAAACAACGCAAGAGAAAAAAGTTGCTCACAACCTACTGATTCATGTCCACCCTGTCCCTAACAGTCATCAGTCCCCATCATTTCACCCCTCAGCTTTCTCTGCGAGCATGGCATTACATGGTATCTGAAATACCTCAGCTGGGTTCAGCTTTCCCAGCTCCATCACTTCCAAACAACATGTGCATCCCCAGCCCCCTTGCTGGTGGAAATGAGGTGCAGAAAAGGCATTCATGCTGTGTAAACACTGCTCAGCAGTAATGAAAATATTCCCAAATTATCAACACTTTTCCAGCACAAATCCAAAACACAGTTCCACATTAATTATTGTGAAGAAATTTAACACTGCCCCAGCCAAAACTAATGCAAATGTGAAAAGTAAGAGAATCAGCACCCATTCATATCTCTTTCTGATATATGAATACAAGAGAAATGCAACATTTGGTCAAAAGAGTCTAAATATATTGTATAATTGTTCTTGATTTATCTGATCTAAACATAAGTCTTAATGTTATGTTTTATGGCAAGAAGTGACATAAAATGATCTTTAGAGAAAAAAAAGTTGAAGTTTAAAATTCAAGAATTTCTATTATCTTGTATATTAGTCCTCAAGTGTTTAAGTATGCAACACATATAATTTGAAACAATAACCAATCTGCATAGGCTGTTTTAATAGGTAGGTGGTAGTAATCATTCATTATTCTTTGAAAGACAGCGAGAATTTCATAGTCATCACAATTAAGAGAGTATAAAGACATGAAACCTTTTGATTTCCTTCTCTGTTGCTCATTCATTTGAAAAAAGTCATTAAAAATGTAAAAAGTATTCTCTTTGTATGACAAATTTGTGATGTGTTCATATCTGGATTCTACTCCAGAGTGTTTAAATTGTGACTTTGACTTTGAATAAATTAAAACTATTGTCTTAAATGTAAATGTCTAGCTAATTTTTAATGAGACCTGGACCACTACACTTGAAGCTAGAGATTAAGCCATAGGGTCACCATCTTTTTCACTTCTGCATATCAACATTAAATTGACTTTCTCAAATAGTCTAGTATTTTAAAGTAAAAAAAAAAAAAATTGGAATATTGCAGCCAGATCTACTTCAAGGTAGTATCTACTATCTTCAAGGTAGCATCTACTTCTACTTCATATTTTGCACAAAGTAATTCCCACAAATCCAAAACTCACAATTATCAGCAAAATTGGATCTTTCTGAGGTACTATGAGCCAGGAACTTTGTACTCAGACAGCAGTGGGTGCCCCAAAGGATAAGAGGCGATCAGCACCCACAGAAATGGGCCTGCTGGGATTTTCCCTGAAGACCCAGGCTCTCACTGCCAGATGTGAAGCAAAAGGTAGGCAAAATCTGTGACCACTAGCAGTAGTCCATTCAAATCCAGTGATTTCCTGTCCAAGACCCCTAGGCACTTGAACTTGAGTCTGTCTCCTACCACACCTAGATTTATTATTCAGACCCAGATATTCCTCCTGCTGCCTTTGCATAGAAGCTCTTCCAGGTCTTATTTCATTCCAAATAATAAATCCATAGCAAACTGATAATATTTTCATTATCTGTAATATTAGTAGTAGCAACAGTAGCTGTGTTAGAAGTATTAAATAGCTCAAGTTAGCACCTCCTAATTCCAGAGCCGTGGCAGTAAATGTGGGACCAGAAAACATCACTGTTGGTCCTGTGAGGGCATTCACCTTTCAGCAAGGCAGTATGTAGCCTTATCAGATTTCAGAAAGCCCACAGGGAAATGTGGATGCAACTTGGCTACTCCTCTGAAATTTGTTTTTGAAGCTCTTCCTTTCCTTTTGCAGGAAAACTCAATAGGTTTAGTTTTAAGCTCCTGCCTTCTCTCTGAGGTGTCTTTGACAACTCTGTCTGGAAAGAGAATACTAAACTCAGTTCTCACTTGCAGTCACAAATCTCAGTGGAAGTCATTGTACAAGATCACTTTCTGTGCTATTTTTATCGTGTAACTTTAACCTTGCAACATAAGTTACACAGATCGAATTGATTTCAGTAGAATTGTCTTGGAGGTTTATGAGAGCACACTTGATCCAGCAGTAGATTATGCAAGAGATGAGCAAAGCAAAATCCTGTTATCTTAAGAAGGAGACAGTTTGCACCTTACAAAACAAATCATAAAGTCAGTCTGGATTATAAAATGGTTTCTAAAGTTTATCAAGCATACGTTTTTCTGTAACATTCTGCTGCAGAAGGAGCAATCTTTTTCACCATGTGTAAGCTATGCCTTCTGTTGCAATGTTTTCTCCTAAGATTCTACCTCCTAGAAAGACAAAATAGTCTTCTGAAGAAATCCTGAAGAAATATTTTTCAGTTCAAATAAATAGCATTTATATGGAATGCTTATTTAATTATTTAATAATTTACAATAATTAATCATTTATGTAAAATTAAGTTTGTTAAAATAAAATACTTCAAAATCATGAGCTCTGGTCAGAGGAGTTTCTATTATGACACTTTTACATGTAAAGAGAAAAGAGAGTGAAGAATTGTAAAATCTGTTTGAGAGTATGGATGATCTTTACTTCTTTTTACTTCACCGCTTTTGCAAAACTCCTTTTACATTGCTCTTCTTTCATTGTGCTCCCTCCTACCCTGCTACTTGCTCTTTTCTAATTTTTGGCCTACTCTTCCCTTGAGTTTCATTGCTTTTATTCCCTTTTTTTCTCTAATACAAGAAAAGAATGATAAAAAACATTTGCAAATGTACTTCTATGTTTCTTTGCCAAGGATTTAAACAGAAATCCTTTGAACTACAGGGATAGTCTCCATGACCATCTACCTCTCTTTTTTCTCCTTTGTATAATCATTCTCCATTTTCTGTTCCATTGCCCATCTCGAACGTATGAATCTCACAAGAAATACGCTACCTAGAGAAGCACCCTGGGTTATTTCACTCCTACCCAAACTATGTTTTCCCAAGGAACTTAAGTTTCCTTTATCAATAGAAAAGGTAAGTAACAGTACGCGTAATATCTCCAACTCCTCTTCCATAACTTTACCATAGCACGGTAAATCAGCATTTATGAAGGAGGCCATGAAATATTAGTGGTTGAGATAGTTCTAACACAATGACTTTTCATTCAAAGTTTCTGCTTATTTAATGATTGGCAAACTCTTACCAAAAGACAGGCAGAACTCCACCAGAAACCTTCCCATTCTCCTGTCAGTTCACCTGACACCACAGTCTGCATCACACCACACTCTCAGAGACACAGCTAATCTCAGGCCTTCAGGCTCAGCAGAGGAAGAAAACCCTGAGCTGAACAGGCATTTGGAGTGTATCTGAATTTCCCTCAGTTTTCAAATCTGATAGCCCAATATAGCAGATCACTGTGTCGCCAAGATGCAAGAGGAGTTATTGACATGGACAAATTATATTTAGCTGGTGGCTTACTACAGATTGTGCCTTGACCTTTCATGTGATCAGCAGACTAACTATGTCACTGCTTTCCAAGTAGTAGATGCAAGATTTAACAAGGAGTGAAATAATGGCATGAAGAGATGTTTTGTTGCTAAATTTGTGGGATTAGTAAACTCCTTTTCATTGACAAATATTTACCAAAATCCAGAGACTCTCTAAACACTTGCAGATAATGGATATAAACCCAGCCATTTAATCAAATTAACAACCCCTTTGGAAATCATTTCAGGACAACAGACAGACACCAGAGAGTGCCTTATGCAGCATTTGACCAGACTCTTTCTTGTAGTGTTTTAAATTACTCAAGCACCAAAGGGGCCTACACCACATCCTTAGAGAGGCAGTATTACAAAGAAGACCTTACACAGGTAAGGCAGCCTAAAATGCTCCCTCCAAGGTAATCTTTTACTCTAGCAAACCCTTCCAGACTTCTTGCAGTGTTTTGAAGAAGCTCTTCTCATACCCCACATAGGCAGGTGGAAATCTGATAAAATGGGAGGTGCTGTCAGCTCCACATCGTTTTGGTTGTGAGATGAGTTTTTATAATTGTTATGCACTGAAGCTAAACTATGAGCTGCAAGGTGGAAGAATAATCTTGCTGAGACATCTTGTTCGGCTTTAGAAAGCATGTTTATAAACCAACACGGGAGAAATGGCACAAGCCTTGGTATTTGTAGTCACAAATTGAAACACTCAAGAAACAGGCAGGGATGTTTAGCCCACCATGAAGAAGGGATTAAGCAGAATCTAGTTCTGAAAGGCTGGATCTTTGAACTTGCTTTGGGCTTCCTAACCAGAAATACTAGAGAGATATGAGAATAGTAACAAAGTCAAGAATTATATGGAGAGAAATTAGAGGAATCTGAAAGCCAGCCAACTAACACTGCCCCCACAAGTACTGGACATCTGCAAGAGATATGTGTGTAAATGAATTAGAGCCCTGAAATTGTTAGTGAGTTCTCCATCTCCCTGCAATATACAGAATAGATAAATAAATAGTAGGCATATGTGATATATATTTAGATTGTGCATTAGACTTTAAAATCTCAGTCTAACTGAATGCATTAGCCTGTATTTTCTGTTTATGCCTCTGGGATGCCATGGAAACACAGCGCTGAATTGTAATGGGTCTCTCCTGGTAATAAATAAACAAAGTCTTTGTCTGTTCATGTTTCAATTTCTTTCTTTTTCTTTTTATTCATGTAATTTACAGTTTCAGAAGGAAAACAGACTTACCCCCACCCATTGTCTTTTGTTGCAAGGCATGCTTAAAATAAATGCAACATGCACCTTCTAGTGGCCACTGGGGCTTCCTATACAGCTGCTACTACCATCAGTAAGCAGTGAATGCCACCTATTTGTGTTGAACTTCCTTCTGAGGAAAAATGTGGCCTTTATAATTGAACCTGGAGTCAGGGTTGCTTTACTAATTGCAGCCTAACCTAAAGAGCACTTAATATACTCATTGAAATTGAAAGCTGTTCTTTTCCTTGCAACTCTAAGAGGCTACAGGCAGTCCCTTTTTCTATAGACAGTAACAATGTTCATTGCCTTTAAACTGCTCCTCCAAATCAATGACACACTATCACTTCCCATGCTCCAGAGCTTATTAAAGCAAACTAAAGCAATCATCCCCATCAGGCTAATGCACAGGAGCAAGGTGAAACTCTAAGCACCAAGTGATAGAAATACCAAGTATCACACAGCATTGGTTTGCCATCTGGCACCTGCTGTCCCTGTCTGAAATGAATAAAGTCATTGAGAGGGGATGTTGTGCAGTAACATGAGTAATAGAAAGGCTGATAATTATCTATGTGGAGAAGTGGGCAGATTTAATTAGACTACTCAAATCTGAAAAGTCAACTGAATCCAAAGGCAGTAACCTCGGCTATGGAGGGCAGCCATATGGCTGCTCTCAAGCTTTCAGGTCAGACTGAAATTCAGCAGGGACCTTCGTCACTAATTTAGAAATGCAGCGCCATGTGCTTGACACCACATCTGTCAGGCAGGTCTCAGGCAAGAACTACAGCAATACCAGATATGCAGGTTTGGTGCAATGCACGCTAGAGTCCCTGTTGTATCATGTCTGAATAACAAGCTGACTTTCCTATCACCCCAGCTGGTCAGCCCTGGGAAGAGGGAAGCAGAAAGAAAGAACAAGGGTACAAAATGCCTTTAGGGTGACATTCAAGTGTATGGGTCTCCAACATAAGGGTAAAACAGAGATACTTTTTTGCAGCCTTGGGTCTCCAAATGTACATGGGTTCATGAACTGAAACAGATATCCTGGGTGGGACAACTGATTTTATTATGAATTTGAATCATATCATGAAGCATTACCGTGGAGGGAACCAGATCTTGGAAAACATGGGTGAAACATGTGAGCCTTAAAAAACCTTTTCTCCTACCCTTCTCCCAACCTGAGTGTATGTACATAAAGCAAATTACATTGATTGCTTTCTCTTCCTGCTTTTTCTTTTTTCTGCTTCCAGAAGCATTGATCAGTTGATTTTTCCTTTTTCTAATCTGATCATCAGACAAGGACAAAAAATATTTTAAGCTTAAGAAGTAATATATTTAATGATATTCTGGTAATCTCTGGAGAATAAAACAGGAGTTTTCAGAACCCACGTAGTACATCACGCTATGTATTGCAGAGAGAGTTATCAACAAAGAATCTAGTGATAATTAGATAAGTAAGTAAATAGGTGGACTTAGTTTGGTTTGTTTCGCTAGGATTTGCAAAATCTGTAAGTCTTTGACTGCACTTCTCTTTTGGGTATGATTTTACACTAGAAGGCAGTAGATTGTGAGGAATCTAGCATGCAGGGAATCACCATTTTCATCAACAGCCTTCCTCCTCCAGGGTCACGTATGGCTACAGCAGTCTCCTGCCCTGCTTCTGGTCAGCAAAGAGAAGGAGCAGATGCTTCCCCAGGAGGTAACTTGCTATTTGTGGAGATGGCAGCAGTACTACAACCATGGACCAAGAATGATGTTGGATGTAAGTGAGCTTGGGACTTTGCAGCTGGGATCGAGTCAAACAAATACTGATAGGAATATAGGAAGGCTCAGTGAGCAGCACAGCATGAGCTACTCTCAGCCCAGAAAGCTATACATTCCTGTTTGCCTCTAGGAAACCCAGCTGCTCAGGGTTTCCCATACCTTCAGTCGTCTGGGACAACCATAAAAAATATGGTTATGACATATTTTGATGAATATGACAGATTAATAGTAAATTTTAAGCTGTAACGGGTTAAAATATAACTTGGTTATTTTCACCTTCTCTTATTTTGTAACTCTGGTTAGATATATGATTTTAAGTGGTTACATGACCCAGTGGAAGGGTCAAGGGGCCCTGCTGTCCACAGCACTTACTTTTGCATAGGGATATTTGGCAAAAATTGCCAGTATATGGAATTGTTCATAAATCTCTCAAGTTCGTGTCAGTGTCTGTTTCTTTCAGTATCCATGCAGCACTAGATTTTGTGTTTAGAACCTTTACATAACACAGAAGTCAGTCTTATGCTCTTGCCAGGCATGATTATCTGTGTAGATTATCACACTTCATATAGGCAGAGAACGCCAACACAGAGCAGATAAAACTATTACAGAAGTTTCCAGGCGTTTGAGGCTGGAGTAATCTGTAAATATACAAAAAAGCATGACCTAATCTCATTAGATTAGCTACTGTAACCAGATAGCTACTACTTCAGCTGAGGCAAATCAAGTCAAGAATATGCTTTTAAATCACAGGGTTTTTTCAGGGAAAAGAGAGGCAGACAGATGGCTACAGAAAATGGTTACACTGCATCAAGCACTGTGGTAAGTTGACCTTGGCTGGACACCAAGTATGCACCAAAGTGATTCTGTCACTTCCCTCCTGAGCAGCACAGGGAGGAGAAAATATAACGAAAGTCTCATGGGTCAAGACAAGGATAGGAAAACATCACTCATGGGCAAAAATGATTCAACATGGGGAAATCAGTATGTTACCAAACAAGTTAGAGTTGGATAATAAGAAATACAAAAAATTTTGAAACACCTTCCCTCAATCAGCGTCCCTGTCCGGGTAATGATTAGCATTGACTCCATGATTCCAGAAGGCTGATCAATTGCTTTATTATCCTATACTTATTAAGAAACCCATCGGCCTTACAGAGAGTCTGATACAGCTTTTCCTAATTAGTCCTTGATTCCAAACAAAATCACCATTGGCCAATTAAGAAACCACCCTTTGGTAAACAAATCTCCATAACACATTCCACATGTTCACAACAAGTACAGCAAGTGAAGATAAGAACTGTTTATTGTTCTTTTCTCTGATCTTCTCACAGCCTTCCCAAGGACAATGCCTGGGAAAGTTGTCCCTGTTGCTTTCTGTGGCCAAAGAGCTCCTGCCACAAATCTGTCCCTTCTTCCTGGACTCAAGGTGGTTTCCAAATTCTTTACCTCGGCGGGATGGGGAATGGAACTTGTCGTCAGTTCACCACACATTGTCTCTGCCACTCCTTCCTTCTCAGGGGTAGGACTCCTCACAATCTTCCCCTGCTCCAGCACAGGGTACCTCCCACGGCACACTGTCCTCCATTAACTTTTCAAGTGTGAGTCCTTCCACGTGCTGCCATTCTTCATGAACTGGTCTAATGTGGGTCCCCTCCACAGAATTAAGTCCTTCAGGAGCAGACTGCTCCACTATGGATCCTCCGAGCAACCACAGTTCCTGCCAGTAAACTTGGTCCAGTGTGGGTTTCTCTCTTCTGGGGGACACAGCCCCAGGGCAGGCTCCTCTCTTCATGGCATCACAGCCTCTTCATGCATCCAGCTGCTCTGAAACTTGGCCATCATGGGCTGCAAGTGGATCCCTGCAACCCCATGGACCTCCATGGTGAGGCACACAACTGCCTCACCATGGTCTGCACCATAGGCTGCAGAAGCATCCCAGCTTCAGCACATGGAGCACCTCCTCCCCCTTCT